TTTTTTGCAGAACCAGGGATTGAACTCAGGCCCTTGCTGATGCCAGACAAGCACTTATTCTACTGAGCCATCTCCCGGGCTATGTCTTGTACTTCTGAGTAACTACTTTTAAGATTATGACACACAGTGTAGTGAAATGTGATATGTGATTATATATATATAACATACAATGTATTCCCTTATTATTTTGTCATGAAAATTTGTCTTATTTTTTCATAAATAAAAGTATTTGATCATTGATTTGAGAATATATTTCCAGGCTCTTAATTCTATTACATTTATCTATATGTCTCCAGTTATCTCAGAACCATAGTATTTTATTTTATTTTTGGTACTGGGAATTGAGAACCACAGTATTTTAAATACTGTCTTTTTCCCCCATAATTTTATTGATAAACAAATAGCAATGAGACAGTTTCAAATCAAATTGGTAGAAGAGTTTCATTATTTAACACGTTGCATACTGTCTTCCTAGTGGTTATTTGTTGTACAAGATGCAGACATGATATCCTATTTACAAACACTATTAGAACAAATCTCTCTGTTCATTGAATTAAGACAACATAGCTATATATCTATCCTAACCATTTTGAATACACAGATACAAAATGGCCATTCATATGTATCCCCCTTTTTTTGTTTAGTTCCTAAATACTGTGTCTTGATAGCAGGTTTTTACACTGGGAAACACGAATTCCTTAGCCTTGTTTTTTCTTTTATTTTCTTTTAATACTCCTCTTCCATTTAGGCCCTTTGTGGATTTTACAGTTGGATTTTCCATTTTCATCAAAAAGGAGTTCAAAGTTTGTTAAGAATTGCGTGAATCAGTAGATATCTTTGGAGTATCTCACCATACCAGCATTATGAAAATTGCAAATTCATGAGTAAAGAATACAAACCAAGATATAAACCAAAATTCTTAAGCCTCTTTCTCTCATGCACCTGCCTTCTTTTCTTTCCATCAGATCACACAGAGGCCTTCTACACCTGCCATGCGCATCCATGAAGGTTGCACATGGACACCTCCAAGGAGTGTCATTTTCATAGGCATCAGTGTGAATGTCAGCCCTGGAGGTGTTCCTGGCACAGTTTTCAGATCTGCGTGGAGTAGATCTGGAGTAATGCTTTACTGGGAGAGGAGAAGATTTTGCAGTGATCACATCCTCTTTTCAGTCATTCTCCAGAAGGTACTTCCTACGCTTTTGTAGTTGATCGTGGTGAATTTGACCACATGACTTTCACTGCATGACATGGCTTTCTCAACATCATGGTGACAGGTGCACTGCACTTGCACTTTCCTTTGAGTATTCACATTCCACAGACCGCTACATTCCTGACACCTCCCAAAGAATCACCGTCAAAGTAATTGCCTGCTTGGACTTGGCACTGCAAGGGCAGAGCATAGGGAAAATATGGGCATCCACCTTGGGCACTTTCCTTCAGGTGCCCTTGTATGTTTGAATGACTAAAAGTCATGCAGTGTTCCATGAGAAAAAGGTGGGTTTTTTTTTTTTTGTATATTTCATTTTCCCAAAAAATGTAGATTAATCTTGTTCTTTGATTTTGGTCATGAAAAGTATCTTGTTTTGTATCTGAGAGGAAACAAATTTAGGATAAGTTAAGAGACATGGATATTCTGCATGCATGTGTGCATGTGTGCGTGCGTACGTGCATGCGTGCGTGCGTGTGTGTGTGTGTGTGTGTGTGTGTGACTGGCTCAGCCCACCCTGGGATGGGGCTAACATGGCATGAGGTGCTGGGGATCTAACCCCAGTCCTTACACGCTTGCCTAAGCTTGCCTAAGCAGGTGCTTTAGACCGCTGAGCTATCTCGCCAGCCTGACACATGGATATGCCTATTTTGGGTACATTGTCTTCTCTCTAGACCAGCATGTAACTGTGCTAGCTCACACAGATTTTCCACATGAGGTAAACTTATTCAGCATGTTACTCTCAAGGAACCAGGAGGCAGTAAGCACATTTGCCTCCAGCAGAAGTGATGATGTCTAAGTTCTAAGTTCTGGCCTCAGTTAATTATTTCTTGTTACCTCATTAATAGTTGCACAATATTAATATATTTCCCTTACATTTATAGAGGACTTATAGAACAATTAGAGCCTGGAATCTTTTTGAGCTTTTTCTTCCAGGATTCTTGTCTCCATCATATATCCATTCAGAACTCACAAACTTAAAGCCTTTGTTTTCTCAGGTCTAAACCTAAGGATTCGTTATTACAATATAGAAAACATTTAGAACTTCATCAAATTAGTATATTGATTTTAGTCTAAAGTTGAGTGACAATTCCAGTAGAGCAAACCAATGCTGGCTAAACAACACTATCTGGAAATATCCCTTTTTATAATGCTTTATCTCAGCTACAAGTGCCAGCATAAACAGTAAGTGGACAGAACACTAATGACTGTCGAGTAAGGCTTGCTGCAACAAGAGCTACTCCAGGAATGAGCACATAGGCACATGTAGGCACACCCAGTTGCAAACATTGACCCAGTCCCCCCACACACACACATTGGCCTACAGAGATACAGGGGCCTAGAGCAAAAACTGGAGCCTGCTGTGGTCACTTAGCCAGGTTAAGACACTACAGTTATCCTCAGGGACTTACACTAACTGCCTTCTTCAGAAAATGTGTGCTTATACTCTTCTAATAAGTGGTCTCCTCTACTGTGGGAAACTGGTGACAGACAACAAGATCCATCTTGCCCTAGCTTACATACTTGATTTTTGAGAACAACCTAACAAACTCGAAGCTAGGCTGCGGTGTAAAAGGCAAATGTTCTTTTAGGACATATAAAGCATTTTGAATTAAAACATGGCTGGAATTCTATGGAGATTAAACAAAAAGATCTATCAGGAATAATAATGGAATGAAAAAGTTCAGGAAATGGGAGAATGAGGGTTTGTGGCTACAAAAGTTCCCTTTGTGGTTTGACAGGGCTCCAAAACAACTTATTCCAAGTGAGGCTCCAGGGTACTCGATCTTCTGAAAGTTAAGAATTCTGCTGCCTCCATCTCCCTTGAGGGTAAGTAGCTTTTAAAGCTTACTAAATGGGGAAAGAGTTTGTACCAATCTGCACCAATAGGATGGATTTTCTTCAAATTAACAGAAACATTGAAAGACGACAAGGAGGGGAGAGTTGAAGTAAATCCACGGGACAGCTCTATGAGTTTACCTACAGCTACATGATGTCCTTGCACCATAAGCATGGTTGCTTTATCCAGAATAATTGTAATTTTGTTATAGTTTATCTCATCTCTTTCTTGGAAAAGTTTTTATTTTAAAAGCTATGTACAATTTTAATTGTGTAGACTTCATTATAATATGCTTCTTTAGTTGTATTAAATAATATTGTCAAAACAGGCATATAACTCAAATGGATAGAAATAAGCTAATTTTTGCTTTTGTTTTTTTCAAACTAGAACTAATTATTTCTAAACTAGTAGTAATTTAGATTTTTCTATCTAAATATTTATTACCATACATGAATTACTCAGTATGAAATAATATATACATGAATTTATACTATGTATGAGTTACATGTCATAATTCATTTTCAACCAGCGAACACTGTTTTATGAAAAAGCCAGTGTTTTCAAATTTGGTTTTGTATGTATTAAATAAATGTGTAAAGTAATGTGATTAGAATTATTTACACATTTATAATTTTCAACCTGTTACATTTCTTTGTGGGTGGAATTTTATTCAAAGGGTTCAAGATGTTACAGATGCTTGAAATAGCACATGAAAGCTGTTTCGTTTTGTGTGGTAGTACGTAAAAGCTGATTTCTTAAAAAAAATAGCAAATCAGTGAAGTATTTGTTTTGCTAAAAAAGCTGGATGTTGGAGATAAATACTTGAGAATGTGTCTGTTCTATGGTTTTGTTTTACAAATTTTTTTTGTCTTATCTGAAATCTTATGTGAGCAAGTCATTAAAATGGGGAACATCGAAGCTGTTACGGTTGAATGGTAGGGAAGGCTGCACAGAGCCTGCTTGGTCTGAAGCCCACACAGCCCCTGGGGACAGAGGTGCATGTGAGATCCAAGGAACAGAAAAACCAAGACTCAGCAAACCAAATCAACAAACAAGAAACAGTGGACCATGTAATGTTTAGAATGGGTTTGTCTGGAACGACATAGTTTTTCTGCAGCAATTCCTGCGGAAGCTACGGCAAAAGGGAGGAGACTTCAGACTTGCCTAGGAGAACATCCGATCACATTTATCTCTCCAGTGTTGATGGCAAGCTATTGCCTGTCCATGTTGGGTGCTTATTAACATTACTGGATATATAAAAAAGTTTTGAAAATCAGTATTTGAGTGGTCAAAAGTATGTAGAATCAAAGGAACATGGCAAAGTAAGAAGTATATTAAAAAGAATGAATGTGGGCCTAATATTTATCAACATCCGAGAGTTATCTACTTGGAAATAAACCTCTCACTGTTCTTAGTGGTAAGTAAAATACCTAACAGTAGTGAATTGTTCAGCTCAATGAAGCTTTACACTAATATCGCATCAGGTCTGGCTCATATTGTACCCTTGCAGTTGAACTTCAAGGATCTCCCAGATCACGATTCTCAAATCATGATGCATAGAGTTAACAAAAATCAAGAGGAAAAGCTGGAAAAGATGCAGATGCATAGCCTGCACTGCAGAGGTTCTGATTCAGTAGGTCGAGGTAAGGGACAGGAGTTTTTATGTAGACTGAACACAGGCTGCAATTTAAGAAACCTTGACTGCATTGGAGGAGAGATGCAGGAAAGGATAGGTGAGTGCTGGTTCCCTGAGTTGACAGTGCAAACCAAGAACTGTGGTAGTCATCTCAGGACTTTCGCTTTTTCTCAGCGTGGTGACTTCTGTCTTCTGGTTCCACATCGCACTGGCGAGGCCGGAGGGGTGGGGGCGTGGGGAGAAAGCTGCACGGATGGCTGTAGCTCTTGATTTTCATTTTTCAGATGTTTATGTCAAGACTTGGAACAGCTCTTCAAAGAATCAAATCATTGTTGGTAAGAAGTCTGGATAACGTGCAAAGAAAGAGTATTTTTTATAACCAATTTGTAAGCAGGAAGCTATATTATTAGCAGAATCTATTCACATCGATCAATAAGACACAGTGAAAAAACCAAGTTCTTTGGTTTTTTAAAAAAAATTTTTAATGTTAATTTTATTGAGAAAGAAGTAGCAATGAGACAGTTTCAAAACAGGTTAAAAGGACAGTTACAATAATTAGTACATTGCATATTGTTGTCTTAATGCAGTTATTCATAGTACAAGATGCAGACATGACATCTTGTCTAAACACTATTAGTTCAAAACTTTCTTCTCATTGAATTAAGAGAAAGTAGCTGCATATCTATGCTAGTGTGTGTGTGTGTGTGTGTGTATATATATATATATATATCAGAAAAGTATAAAAACAAGGTATAAAAAGTAAAACCATATTAATATGCTGAGCTATAAAAGGCTCAAGTCAACAACTTCTGACATTGCCAGGCCTACGGATAACCAGCTACTATTATAGACTGTTGGACTATATTGGATTATTTTGCTGAATTCATGCACCTACAATATAAGAATAGCAAGGGAATAACCATCTCTGACAAAAGCAAACAAAAAAAGGGAGATATAAATGAAGGCCCATTTTGTAGTGAAAAAAAACTAAGCTCTTTGTAATGATGATAGTTGAATGGATATTAAATATTATGATTATAGCAGCACCACACTTTAGATGGTCTAATATCATAGAATTGTGTATTAGAACTGTCTATAAATGGTTAATTTCATTAATCCACAATCACATTTAAGTAATAGGTAAAATAGACTGGATATTTAAAGAAATATGTTTGTTTTGAATTTTTCGATTTTATTGGTACATTTTAGATCCACATGATAACTTTGTTCATACTGAATTTGTACCTCTACAGGATACAGCTTGCCTATTTTCTGCCATTCTTTTCCACTCTAATTTCTCTTCCTTTCCTTATTTACAAAAGTTTTGTCTCCATTTTTTGCTTTTGTTCTCCTTTTTCCTTTCCCTTTCGTTTTCCCTCCTTCCCCTTTCTTGTTTCCCTTATTATTTTAAGTTTCTCCCCATATCCCAATATATACTACACATTTGGGACATGACACTTTTTGTTGCTCAAACCAGGGAAATAATACAGTGTTTAAATATCTATTTGATTTACTTCACTTAAGAGTATGGTTTCAAGGTGCATCCATGTAGTTAGAAATGTCGCAAGCTTATCCTTTTTCATGAGAGAGTAGTGATCCATTGTATAAAAAAGCCATATCTTTACTCATTCATCAGCTGATGGGTACTTGGGCTGTTTCCAAGATTTAGCTATTACAAACTGTTCCACAGTAAACATAGGTGTGCATATATTGCTATGGCATGACATTTTTAATTCTTTCAGGAAGATACC